CTTTGAGACTGTGGAGTTCCCCCAGCAGTCTAGACCTATAGCAGCATAACTAAGGGATGGTTCAGGACCTGATCCAGAACTATAAACTTTATCAAAGAGGAAAGTTTTAACTTTAACTTTAAATGTAGAGATGGTGTCTGACTCTAGAACCCAGAGTGGGAGCTGGTTCCACAGGAGAGGAGCCTGGTAGCTGAAGGTTCTACCTCCTGTTCTACTCTTACAGACTCTGGAACCCAGAGTGGGAGCTGGTTCCACAGGAGAGGAGCCTGGTAGCTGAAGGTTCTACCTCCGGTTCTCCTCTTACAGACTCTAGAACCACAAGAGAACCTGTGTTTTGTATTCTGATATAAAATCCTGTCAGTGTCAAAAAGTTCTTATTCCTCTTCCAGATCCTCCATGGCCTCCTGGTAAACCCACAGTGAAGGACGTGGCTAAGACTTCCTGTTTCTTGATGTGGACCAAACCAGAGCACGATGGTGGAGCGAAGATCGATGGCTACGTCATTGAGATGCTGAAGAGTGGCACCACGGACTGGATCCACGTGGCAGAGGACATCAGTATCCTGGAGCACTTCCTGAAAGGCCTGATGGAGAAGCAGGAGTACTCATTCAGGGTGCGAGCTGTTAATGTGGCTGGAGAGAGCGAACCCAGCGAGCCCAGCGACCCAGTGCTTTGCAAAGAGAGACTTAGTAAGAACAAGAGAAAGAACAGAAACAACAAGTTTAAATGAAACTGGAGAACAACGGTTTTAATACTCCTCTTCTCCTTAGATCCTCCTTCTGCCCCTCGCTGGTTGAACGTTATCAACATCAGCAGGAACAGTGCTGATTTGAAGTGGACGGCACCTGAGCGTGACGGCGGCTCACCCATCACCAACTATGTGGTGGAGAAGCGTGACGTCAGACGTAAAGGCTGGCAGGCCGTGGACACCACAGTCAAGGAGTTGAAGTACACCGTGACTCCTCTCAATGAGGGCTCACTGTACGTGTTCCGCATCGCTGCCGAGAACACGGTGGGCGTTGGACCGTTCTGTGAGCTGGAGGACTCTGTGCTCGCCAAAGACACTTTCAGTGAGTTAGAAATTTAACTTTAAATGTAAATCCATTTATTTTAATCAGGACTGTGGTAAAAATACTACTTTTTTTTCAGCCACTCCTGGGCCTCCGTACGCCCTCGCTGTCAATTCTGTGACCAAAAGATATGTGGACCTTCAGTGGGAGGAGCCTAAAAATGATGGTGGCCGACCCATCCTCAGGTTAGTTTACACTGACGAGACGGTAAAGAAACACCAGTGATGAGTTTGTAATATGATGTGAAATAAAAAAGGTCCAGAGTCGGAGGTGTCACCTGATTTATCATCAAATCAGTTTTCTTGTTGCTAACGAGCCGTCATGATGAAGCTCAGTGTTTCAGTTTGAAGATGTTTATGTGACGCTGCCCTCCAGGTATTCAGTTGAGAAGAAGGAGAAGCTTGGCACTCGCTGGGTGAAATGTGGGAAGACTTCAGGTCCGGACTGTAAGTACAGAGTGACGGACGTCATCGAGGGAACAGAGGTTCAGTTCCAGGTCTGCGCTGAGAACGAGGCCGGTGTCGGACATCCAAGTGAACCCACCGAGATCCTCACAATAGAAGATCCCACAGGTTGGTTTTCTGATGAGCATAGAAACGCTGAGCGCATGTTCAGTGCACAGAGTCTAAATCCATCTTTCATGTTTTGCTCAGGTGTCCCATCTCCACCCATCGAGCTACACATCACCGGCGCCAGCCGGGACGTCCTGTCCATCGGCTGGAAGCCTCCGCAGAGGAACGGCGGCTGCCCGATCACTGGATATCACATTGAGATGTGCGAGGCTGGAACAGAGAAGTGGATGAGGGTCAACTCTCGCCCAGTGAAGGAGCTGAAGTACCGTGTCGAAGAGGGTGTGATCCCTGAGAAGGAGTACATCCTGAGAGTGAGGGCCATCAACTCTGTCGGAGTGAGCGAGCCCTCCGACATCTCAGAGAATGTCTTCGCCAAAGAATCTGACTGTACGAGCATCTAACGCCGTCCCTAATGTTTCATGTGAATCACCAAACTGACAGGAGCGATGAATGAATGAGATTTAATTTCTGTTTCCAGGTAATCCGACACTCGACTTCCAGACTCTGGACCTGGTTGTCGTGGAAACCGAGAAGATGCACATCCCAGTTCCCTTCAGAGCCGTCCCCTCACCCAGAATCACCTGGCACAAAGACGGGAAGGAGCTGAAGGCCGACGAACGTCTTGGCTTCAGGTCATTGACGCGTCTTTTAACAGTTTTTACAGTTTGCAGCCAAAATTAAAAAAACATTAATCCATCCAGAAATTAAAAATCACAAACAGTCAAAGACTGAACTACTTGAAATGTTTTTATATCAGAAAATATTTTACTGTGACCGTCCATCAATAAAAACCTTCCAATACTGTAAACGT